CCGCGCTGCTCCCGCGCCGCGCCCTGGCGTTTGTGGGGGCGGAGGGGAGACAGCGGCCCCGTGCCCTCCTCCCCCCGGCCCCGGGCTCTGCTCGGGCTTTGCTGTTGTTTGTTCGGGTTTTTTAAAAATAAATTACCTCGGCGCGCCGGGATTTAAATGTTCCCTCCAGGTGCCGCCGTTGCCAGGGGAGGCGAAGTGGAAATGAAAACCGCCCGCTGAATAATCGCAGGAGCAAAACTAAAAGTTCCTGCCTCGCCGCTTGGGCTGAGAAAGGGCCAGATCGAAAGCAAAACAAGGAGAGGAAACTGCGAGGAGCGGCGGCTTGGAAATCCCCCCCCTTCCCTTCCCCTCCCGGCTGTTTGTGCGGGCGAGGGGCGGAGGAAGAGGTGCGGAAGTTTGCCGCAGCCTTTCATTGGCAGGGGGAGCAGCTTTCATCATTTCTCGGAAAAGTCGATTTCATTTTCACTTCCCTCCAGCAGCCGCAGCGGCGTGTGCGTGTGCGAGAGGCAGAGACACACACAGGCAGGCTGCGAGGTTTCAGTTCCAGGGCAAGAGAAACCAGAGGAGCAGCTGGAGCACAGCCTGGCCTCTTTTTTTCCCCTTTTTATTTTCTTTTTCCTTCTCTAATCCTCTGACAACGCCTGGTTCTGTGGTTTTGCTTTTTTTAAGTGTCCCAATCTCCATGTCTCGAGGATAAGTGTCAACAGCCTCCCAGGGAAGCCTAAGGTTGGAAGGGACCTCAGGGATCAAGGTCCAGCCCCCCCTGTGCACATACATAACTGGCACAGGGTCTGGTGAAGCAAGCCGCTGCTTCGGAAAGCTTATGCATCTCTGATTTAGACAGTCTCTTTAGGAAAGCTTCTGCACCTCTCTCTGATTTAGGCAGTGCATAACATAACAGCCTTCTGCTAGTGCTAAAGCACCGCTGTCAAATCCCTATTCAGCCTCCTCTTGAAAACCTCCAGTAAAGGAGATTCCCTGGGCAGCCTGTTCCACAGCCTCACCCTCCAAAATATATGCACACTCAACCTCTTCGCTTAAAAGGTGTGGAAAACAAACCCAGCCCAGCCTCCAAAAGGTATCGGACATTGGCCTAAAAGAAAGCCCAGCCCAAGAACTTGTTTGGAGTTAGAACCGATTCCCAATTTCTGTAGACTGGGAAAGCATAATGCAAGTCTCTGCTGTCACTGCATCCTAATTCCTTCCATCCCAGGGTATCAGATATTATGAATATGTGGAGATGCACCACCAGATGCTCAGCATATGCTGCCAGTTTCCTTACAGATTGCTTTTTTATGTGCAGCTTGACTGGTGTGCCTGAACATTTTTAGTTAAATTTTCAACCCCTCTTTGCAATTTTAAGCTTCTCTTATTGATAAAATAATGTACATTTCCAGCTAGATGCCTAGTGCCACACAAATCAATGTTCCAATTGTGTTAGAATTGTCCTTTAGATCTCTGCAAGGCATCTCTGCACTATGTTGTCTCCAAAGACTAGGGCTTAGGGAGTTATCCTGGGGATCAGAAAAACAGGGTTTGGATCTTTTCTCTGTCAGATTTCCTGTATGACTCTCAGCAAGTCACTTGGGGCAATGCCCACAAAGACATTTAGATACCACACTCCCACAGAAATTGATTTAGTTTCTTAGTGCCTCTATATCCCCTCTGTAAAGTGGGGATGATAGTATTTACCCCTCACACGGGTATATTGCAAATGTTGATATTTAAAAAGATTGTGATGTGGTCTGAAAAGCCATAGCTAGATTTTCAAGCATGAACTAGTTAAGATAATATGTATTTCTTGAAAATATGAACTCACATTCTCAGGGTGAGTAGAAATCCAAAGAAAATATTTATTCTACAAAAATTTACACAACCCTGACTTTTCACAGGTGACAAGTCACTTTGATTTTTTTAAATCACCTACTATTTTTTATTTAACCCACCTTGTCCTAAATTTTAATAACAAAAGAGCAAAACTATGAATGGTTGCATGAAACTTGTCCAATATATTTATGAAATGTTTGGTGACAATGTATGCTCACAATTTGCTTACTGAATAAGCTATCTTTAAAAGATTTTAGATTTTTTTTCTCATAATTTGCTGACATACAAGCTTTCTGTAATATTGTTCTATTTAATTATATTTTACCTCAAAGAGAATCTGGGGTTTTTTCTACAGAGAGGCAATGGTTGTCAGTGATATTAATTAAAGTAAAACACATCTCGGTCCACCTGAAGAAAACATGAACCAAACTATTTTAGAATATTTGTTTCTCTTTCACCTTTCATTTTAGGAGCACAGAAAGGACTTTCTGGGATTGCAGACATGCATGTAATAAATGTTTGTCTAAATGGTCCACAAGAAGTCCAGCTTCTTCCATATACCACAGCCAGAAAGAAAGTGAAAACAATCAAAGAATGCTTACAACACGGCACAGGAAGAGAGCAGGAGAAACGAGGACTGCAGTACTTTGGCTCCTACTCCAGTAGGGAATTTGTTAGGTAAAATACACTCCTACAGGGGAAAACAAAAATGTTCCAGGGGTCGGTGCCAAACAGACTGGAGGAAAATTCCATCCTAAGTGCATGAGCAAGGCCCAACAGCCAGGCATATGAGCCATTTCCTCAGTACCAGTAGGAACATAAGCAAGCATACATGGGCATAGTGGAAAATTTTAAGTACTGGGCTAATGAAGAAAAGACAGTTTGGCTCCTCTCTAACAACTTACAGTCTATCATATACTCCATTGGCATATTTGCCCTACTTGAACAAAAAATAAGGGCCAAAATCAAATAGAATTCCCTGCTTTTCATTTTTACTACTGCTTTATTTATCTATTTTTTGTATCATCATATATTATGCTCTATGTCACTTTTGTTTAAATTAGTAGAATGTGTAACATAATTGTATGCTTTTATGAAATTTTATTATTATATATGTTATTTTACTGTTAATTCTATTGTATTGTTCCAATGAAAGCTGTAAATAAAGTATTACTACTATCACAAGCATACCGAGACCAATTTCCTATCACTAGTCATGCATGGCCAGTATCCAGTGCTTCAGAGAAAGGAACATAATAAAAAATCTGGAAACCACATAGTGCATTTAGAAGGCTCCTGCTGGCAGAAATCACCAGTGCAATATGGTGCAGTACGTATTAAAAGTACTTAAAACATTTAAGAAGCAGAAGAATGAGCAAAGGAAGGAAAATTAATCTAGAAAGAGATATCATAGCCACACAAACAAAACTGTAGAGTCCCCTGGTACAACTGAAACATTCCCTGAAAAAACTGTCAAATTTCCTGAATGTTACTACTTTACATTTTCTGGGGCCTCATCTGACTCATTGTAACATCTGCTAAAAGGTCTGATTGACTCCACTGTGATTGGGATTGGGCCTTCAGTCAGTGCTGAATACAAAACATTTCTCTTATCAGTATGTTTTAACTACAGTCCAAAGGTGTAATGATAGCTCATGTGGATTTCTCCAAACTAGCCTATAATCAACTAGCAGTAGCAATCTAGCTATAGCAGTACAGACTACAAGCATTTGGGAGATTCATGTGGCCTGCACTAATGTCCATGCTGCTATTACTAGTGCCCAAGCTATTTGGTCTGAAGCTGGCACTATACAAGTTGCATCAAATCTCTAGATTGTAGTACAAACATATCCTCTCAATAATGCTCACAACCACCTGCGATTCTGCAGTGTCTAAATTTCACTTAATGTTATAATATATATATAACAGTAACAAATACTAGTTTCAGAGACCACAGAGAGAACAAAACTTTAAACCATATACTTTCGGTGTTGCTACAATGACAGCATTCACCAAAAAATCACAGGATTTAGTAGGATCCAATATTAATGCTGTGATCATTTTATATGGCAGAAGGTAAAGCAGGAGTGGGCAATTATTTTGGGCAGAGGGCCGCTTACTGAGTTTTGGCAAGCTGTTGAGGGCCACAAGTTTAGCCCCACCCCTTGACAGGTGCCCCACCCCCTGGTTGCCATCTTGGGACTGGAAGTCCCGCCCCCTAACCCCTGACCTTTGCCACCAGAAGTCTGTCCTCTTGCCCCCCCAGAAGCATGCAAGGGGGTTAACCATCTCGGAACCAGAAAAATACCAAATTTTATTCTAAAAAATCAAATATCTACTATGACATTCATTAATGTGATTTCAAAAAACATTTTTGTCTTGATTTACCTGTGTTTGTGTTTGTATAGTGTGCATAGAGGTGATTGTATAATAGCTAAAAAGGAAGTCTTACACATGGGGGACATGTGGGGGTATGGATGCATGGGTATAGGTTTGTGAGGGACTGTGGATGTGTGGGTATGTGGAGTGTGGGGGAAGGTGTGGGTGTGGAGCTTTTGGGGGTGGATAGGTATATATGTGTATGTGGGGTGGGGGAACATGGGTGTGGGTGAGTATGGGGTTTGTGGGAGACTGTGAGTATGTGGGGGGGAGAGTGGCTGGGGGGGGGTGTGGGATGGGTGGGGGGGGGGGGGGTGG